ATAAGCTCAAGTAGCTTTTCACGTTGTTTTTTACTTGCATTTGTCCAACTGGCCTAGAGAACAATTTAAAAGACACAAAAGTTTCAGGGAAAGAAAAAACACACTATTTTACAGAAGACTACTTTCTTAAACTAGGATTGTCAACCTGGGCACCACTGATGTTTTGGACTGGAAAATTCTTTGTTGCAAAGGGCTGTCTAGCACACTGTAGGACTTTCAGCAGCATCCACTAGATGTCAGTAGCACACTCCTCCCCCTAATATGATAACCAAAACTGTTTCCATACAACCAAATAAAACTGCCCTGGTTGAGAACCATTGCCTTAGAGTCAGTCTATTAGCTAGAATTTTAAAATTACATTAAAAAAACCAAACACCTTATGAGATTGGTCTTCTGGGTTTGAAGGCTTAGGACTGTAGTGTTTCATGGGAAAATTCAATTAATTGGCATCATGTACTTCATAAAGTATATGTTCTACATCCCTAAATGGTGAGTAGTGTCTAGGGACTTAAAAGCTTACAAACGGCTTTCTAAGATACAACTGTTGGTCTCTACTGGTCCAGAACAAAAGTAAGTGAAGGTAAATAAAGGCTCAGAGAAGATAGTACTCTATAGGACTAATAATCTACATAAACCATGGCCTCATATAGCCTGACACCAAAAAAAAATTAGATGGTACCGAGCTACCACTACTGACTGTTCATTCAGATGAGGGCCACAACAGATGGATCCTGATAGAATGGGAGAAAAATGTGGAAAAAAACCTCAAATTCTTAAAAAAATCCAGATTTACTGCTCCAATTGAAACTCCTGGACTCCCCAAGACTATGACCCAGAGATACTCTTTAAACCTAAAACTGAAATGATCCCTTGAGGTCACCTTTTAGCTAAATAACATATTGGCTCATAAAATAAAGAATATGATCCGTAGTAATGGGCTCTTTACAAAGTTAGCTATATGAGACCAAATGGTCAAAATTTACTCTAAAGCAAACATTAAGATAAGGGCTCAGGAAAACTGGAGTACTGGAAATGATACAACCAGAACAATAAGAAAGAGAATGACAACACACTGTGAAAAATGTAACCAATATAAATTGTCATCGCTTCCCACTCATGGTGACTCCACATGTGTTACAGTGTGGAATTGTCCCACAGGGTTTTCCTGCAATCTTTACAGCTGATTGCCAGGCCTTTCTTTTGTAAAACTGCTGGGTGGATTTGAATTGCTATCCTAAGGTTAACAGCTGACTGGAAACCACTTGTGCCACCCAGGGACCTTGAGTAATTATTACACATGTCAAAAATAACACAATAAGCAGCACACTAGAAGCAAGCTGGATCTTTTTTCTTTTTTTAAAATTTACGTTAATGAAAACAATCTACAAAAGTTCTTTTGTGACTATATTCCTTTCTTCAACCTTCTGCTTGTTAGATTCATCCATGTGGCTAAATTGCTCTAATCTGTTCATTTTCATTGTCATACCACAACTCATTTATCCATAATACTGTTCATATTCCACAGTAGTTACTGCTATTACAAATAATTCTGCTACACATGTCATTGAGCCTTTACCCTGGTACAAACGAGCTTTTCTAGAATATATCTTCATAAGTTAAACCAATGAGTCAAAAGACCTAAAAATTTAATACCACCAAAATAGCAAAAGTATGTTCCAAAGTGGTTGTATCAAGTTATATTCCCACCAGTAGCCAACATAACTGTTATTTCTAACAAGAAACCTTGGTGACCTAATGAGAGACATTAACAGAACACGCTTTTTCAACACTGCCATAAGGTTGTATGTTCTTGATCGACAAATTCAATAACCACTTGGGCTTTTGCAAATCCAACCCTAACAACTAGACAGAGACTACTATACCACATGGCCTTAAAAAAAAAACATACAATAGCACCAATGGAGATATGACTGTAGGGGTTCTTGAGTTACTGCAGGAATTAAATTTTTATTAAGCCATGTTTTGCCTGTGCATGACTCTAGAATACCAAGGTACTGGTATACTTTTGCTGCTCTGTCTCACTTTTCACTGCAACCAATCGCTTTTCCCTTCAGTCACATGGTTTACTTGACCCATTAACAAAAATAAAAACTACTAGAAGAAATAAATCCAAAGTGATAACTGGAAAGAAAGATTCTTTATTTATGAAGGCCATTATTATACAAGCTCTGGTGTCGCAGTACCTAACACATTTGACTGCTAACCAGAGGACTGGAGGTTCAAACCCACCACCCACTTCTTGGGAGGAAGATGGGGAAATCAACTTCTATAGTGGTATTGCCACGAAACCCAAGGAGGGGTCTACATGAGTCGGATCTGACTCGATGGCAGCGAGTTTGGCTTTCTGGTTTGGATTATTATACAAAGGAATACCAGCTTCTCACTGGAAAAGAAAATAATGCCAATTCCTTCACACCGGAGATTATTTAATGACATCTCTATTTATATATTGGTTAAGATCATCAATTCATGGATCTAAATAATAAACTATATTTAAAATGAAACGGTAATACTTTCACTATGTTAACAATTACCTTAAAGCAATCAAAAAGATGATCAAGCTGTTCGGGAGAAAAATCCCATGCCAACTTTGCCAACAGATCATGTACATTCTTCACAATTGCTTCATGTTTCCCTGCCTGTCAAGAAAACAAAGAAAATTAAGGCCTACTAGAATTGAATAACAGGTAAGTAATATACTGCCTGCTCTCAACTATTAATGATTATTTCCATCTCTCCCATCTGACTGTGTAACATAAGAAAATAACATTTTAAATGATTTAGAACTGCCATCTAAAACTTGGCAATTCAATTTCCTGATATAAATCGTTAATATGTATTTTGGGAATTCATGTGAACCTTCAGTACAGTTTTACTCAATTTAACATGTCAATTTTAATAGTGCAGGTAGGAGAAAAATAAGGCACAAAAATGGTATTGTTTCAAAATTGGATCCTTAAGCACTCCAAGGTGAAACTGAGTATTTTCTTGCTTTCTATAGACTTAAGAAACAAAAAAGCTTTGTAATCTATAATTCAACAATAATTCCCAAGTTATCAATGGGTAGGAACCTATCATTTAAACAATCAAATGAATTACATAGTTTTAAACTCTGAAACCTGTTACTTATCATTCTGAAAAGTTCTAAATCCTTTGGAATAATTATTATTGATCTTTAAAATAATTTGTTATGTGACTCTTGGACATTACAGGGTTTTGTCCCATTCTATAAAATTTACAAGGAAATAAATTCTAGAGATGCTTTATACTCCCTTCAGTAGATATACCAAGCATTTAAACTAACTAAAACTCAAACAATACAAGCCTGCATGCCATGTCACGACTGCCATTATTGATTTAGCTTTTAGTTATCTTTCATTTAAAAATAAAATAGCCACTATCTTAAATTCCTTACCTGTGCTGCCCAGATATTATCAAGATCTTGTAAGGTCAGAGCTTTTTCTTTGATGACAAAACGAAGAATCTTCTCTAGCTTTTCTACATACTGTGGTTGATGAAGACTATCTCGCAAGACTATGGATAAGATGTTATTCTGCTGTATCCATTCCTAAATGTAATTCAAAAAACTCTATGAAAACAAAAACTAAAAAAAGCAGGTTTAAAATACATAAATTATTGCATACACTTTCAAACATTAATCAGAATCCAAACACACATTCACAAACTATAATACACTAATGTAACATGCTTATGTTCATTAATGTAAAATCATGAAGACATTACAGTAAATTCATAGAACTTAAGTTTGTACATACAGAAATGCTTCCATTAATTAGTAAAACTGAAATCATTAAACAGATTCTACCCTAGCATTTAATCAGAATATTACTAAAAAGTGCCTCACCCCACTGCTATCTAATCGATTCTGACTCACAGCCAACCTAGAATGGCCCCATAGGGTTTCCTAGGCTACAAATCTTTATGGAAGCAGACTGCCACATCTTTTGGTTAGCAGCCAAGCACTTTTTAACCACTGCACCATACCAAACCAAAACCAAACGCACTCTCGTCAAGTTGGACCCGACTCACAGCAACCCATCCTTGGGTTTCCGAGGCAGCATCACTACGGAAGTACATTGTCAAACCTTCCTTCCAAGGAGTGGCTGGTGGGTTTGAACCGCCAGCCGTCTGGTTAGCAGTCAATGCCTTAGGCACTATGCCACTAGAGCTCCTAAGGGCTCTCTTATTTAAGACAAGCAACAGGAACTGTTTAGGTAGGATGGGTATAGGTATAATTTTAGGATTTTTGGATTCTTTATAGCAGTTTCACCACAGAATTGTTTTCATATTCGGTGAAAAGGTATCTACTCTATTTTTTTTCCTTTTATTTATTAACTGATTACCACGTGCCAGACACTCAAACTGCTTATCCATTAGCTCCTTAAGCTTCAAAAAAAAAATCCTAGTGAGGGATATACTATTATAAGAAAGTAAACAAGGTTAAAAGTGTTTGAAGTGGGATGTAAATCAAGCCTGCATGTTTTCAAAGTCTGTATTTTCACAACATTATGCTGTGCTAGGGAGCTCTGGTGGCATAGTGCCTATGGCATTTGACTGCTAACCAAAAGTCAAATCTGGCGGTTCAAATTTACCAGCCACTCCTCAGAAGGAAGACTGAGCAATCTCCTTCCAGAGAGAAACCCAAGGAGGGGGTCACTGTGAGTCAGAATCGACTCAATGGCAGCAAGTTTGGTTTTTGGTTTGATGCTATGCTATGAGTGGGCAGTGTTTACGTGCTGTTGTACATGGAGAATGCCAATTCGACATATGACAACAATATGCTCTGCTGCTTGGTGGGTATTTGTAATCTATACCAAAACCAATAGAAGAAAGCACTGATTTCATGACAGAAAAAAAGTAATAATCCACACTGTGAAGGTTTGAAAGTATTTCATTTACTGAGATTAAAAAGAAGACAGCCCCGAAATGAGTTAGACAATACACTTCTCAACTGGTGAAGTGTTTTATTTCTAATCCGTTGCAGATTTTTTTAAATACATTATTATTATTATTACCAATTCCAAGTTGCTGCAGAAGTTTTTAAACATTAAATATCATTTTGTGTGCTTATCTAGGCAGGGTAACAGTTCAAGGGCAACCACCAACCATCAGACTACACTGTAAATACCTCTATGCCAGACATTCCAAAAAGTAGACAAATCACATACAAAACAGATGTCTCCCACCTAGCCCCAAACATCCTCTACATATATACTTTTGTTTTAATTTTATTGTGCTCAACTATATGTAACAAGAAACTTGCAATATTACCCAAAGAGTATAATTGGCATTAATTACACTCAGCATATTGTATAAGCACCACTGAGAATTATTTCCCAAAGTTTTGTATCACTTCAAATGAAAAAGAAACTCAGCATCCCTTAAGCACTAACTCCCCATTCCCCCAGTCCCTGGTAACAATGAATCTGGTCTCTATGCATCTGTCTAATCTATATTATTTCATATAAGTGGGGCCATTACAATATTTGTCCTTTTGATTCTGACTTACTTTCACTTAGCGTAATTTTTTTCCAAAGTTGATCTGTGTTGTGGCATGTATTAAAAACTCATTTTTCTATAGCTAAATAATACCCCATTTTATGTATACACCACATTCTGTTTATCCATTGATCTGTTGATGTACACTTGGGTTGCTTCTACTTTTTAGCTACTGTCCTACGTAACTTTTACAAGTTCTAATAATTACCTTTCCCTACTAAACTAAAGGACTTCTGGTAGTACAGTGCTTAAAACTGTCGGCTGCTAAACAAAAGGTTGGTGGTTTTAACCCGACTCTGTGGGTAAAAGATGAGGCAGTCTGCTGCCCTAAAGATCTACAGCTGTGGAAACCCTGTGGGGCAGTTCTACTCTGTCAGTGGGGCCGCTATGAGTTGGAATCAACTCTTTGGCAGAGGCTTTGGCTTTTATTAAATTCAAGGATCCTTTAGGACAGAGACAGTTCTTTTACAGATGTCTCTCTAGTACTGTCACACACCATGCACTCAAAAAATATTGGCTGAATAACTTAAGAGGCATACTTACTCATTTTAAAAATACTTTACTTTTAAATATACTTCACATATGCAAACATATATGGCAAATAGGTTTCTAAATTTTTTATAACTGTTTTTAGTTACTTCAGAACATCTATAATAAACAGTAAGTTTACCAAAGATGTGCTAAGCTACCCATATCACTACTAGACAATTATTAAACTATGTTATTACTACCAAAAATTCTCAGGATTAAATAATCATAAATAAATATACCTCACAATCTAAAGGTTTACTTAATTTTAGTATTACCAATTTTAACTAGAGCTATTCCACTTTTGCCTTAAGGAGAGTCTTATTCATGAAAGAAGAATCAAAGGACTTACTGCCATTCGCTCAGCTGTGAGCCACTCTTCCTCTTCGGGATTACCATGCCGATGGGTATAATATGACACACTAGATATAACCTTATTGACTTCGTTTAGTGCATTCATCTTTCCATTGAAGGAAGAAATTTGCAATAATCTGTAAGAGAAATTTAGTGTTAGATATGATTCCAAAAATTCACACAAATAACTGTTTCAAGAGGTAAGTATCTTACCTAAGTATCATTTTTAACCTAAATATTTCTAAATTTTTTACAGTTTCTTCTTGTCCTGGAACCCTTGAAGCTAAATTCTTCAAAGATTTAATAATCATTGAAAGGGCATCATTTTTGGCTTCATTCTTAGCTTCTTTTTTCAGTTCTTCATCAGTTAAGTTTTCTAAAAACTGTGGAACCATTTCTATGACTGGAAGAAAGTATTTTTTCACTGTATGAAGAGTGAGAAACTCATAGCATTGTCCAAATGGTCTGAAATAAAAAGAAACAAAACATACTTGATTTCTTAAAATCAATTAGGATTTAACTATGACTATTTTATGTAGCTTAAAAGAAAACACTAGAGTAAGAAACTACAATTGAAAGCACAAACTCAATTTTTATGAATAAAACAGCAAATTCTATGGGGCACTGAACATTCACTTAAAAAAAGAAACAACTTACTTAATAAGAGCTGCGATTATTTGAACGTTTAACGCAGATCCATTAATAAAACGATCGTGCAAAATCTGGAACCCATTTAAAGTGCCAAATTTGTTGAGAAGATCCACTAGCCAACCCTGTAATACAGGTGATGACAAAAGTTAACTTCCTGGTTATATTGCGGGGGGGGGGGATAGCATTTGAAGCAATGTCTTAACTAAAATATACTTTAAAACACACACACGCACACACACACACAACCAAACCCACTGCCATGGAGCTGATTCCAACTCCAGCGACCCCCATTAGATTTCTAAGGCTGTAAATCTTTTTTTGTTTGTTTTTAAATTGTGATTTGGGTGAAAGTTTACAGAGCAAATTCACTTTCATCAGTTCACATATACTGTCTCATGACAGTGACTACAATTTACCACAATGCAACAGCTCCCCTCCCATTTCCTTCCTATAGTTTACCTCTTCCCTGTGTCCTTCCCTCCATGCTAACTTCTGCCCCCTGAGCTATGTCCCTGTACATACAAAGCCCTTCTATTCTCCCATGATTATTCTCTCCAAGGAGTGTATCTAGCTAGTGTAAATGCTCATCTCATATGCTTGTCTTTTGTTTGGCTGGAAGCCACTGGTGTGGGTTCAATTCCAGACATGAAAGGCAGCTGCAGCTAGGGGCCATAGTCTGAGGGGTTCCATCAGGCTCTATAAGACCTACAAACCTGGTCCCTTTCCAAGACTATAAATCTTTATGGAAGCAGATTACCTTGTGTTTCTCCTGCAGAGTGGTTGGTGTGTTTGGTTAGCAGCCCAATGCCTTAACCACACTGCCACCAGAGCTCAAAGATTGGGCTCAAGACAATCTTTTTTACCTTGTCTTTTTCTAAATGGCCACATTTTAAAATACCTGAGTGGAAAATTAGGGAAAGGCCCCACAAGGCAAGTTCTCTACTAGTAGCCTTAAAGAAAATGATCTTTACTGGTATTTAAAATAGATATAGAGAGATGGGATGGATAAATACACACACACACACACACTCACTCAAGAGAAACAGAAAATACTAAATGAAAAGTAAAAATAAAAACCCATTTATTTCAAGATGATTCCTATAGGAATCTTATAAGAATCCTTATACACCAACCACACAGGACAGAAGAGAAATGCCCCATAGGGATTCAAAGGCTATGAATCTTTTATGGAAATAGACTAAAACATCTTTCTCCCATGGAATGGCCAGTGGGCTGCAAGGACAACCCAAGAATGAAATAGGGTGCTTCAAACTGAGGCACAGTTATAGTTGACCATTAGCAGCAAAAAAACAAAACAAAACAAAAAAAACTTCCTTTATCAGGCTCTTTCATTAAGATGGAAAGAGGCAAACCAAGACCAATTGCCCAACAGAAAAATTCAAAATGACTATATACTCTAGAATTTGCCATATTCTTTTAATGTAGTTTTATGTGTACTATAGTTAGTTATATGTTGCTTTTCTCAAAGATAGCTATGATGAACTTCACCCGAGACTCATCTCAACCAAAAACTTTTTACTATACTTTTAAAGTTTGAATAAATAGTAGTCATTTAAACATCTTCAAATATCTTGGGGGAGGGGGCAAACAAGAGGGGGGGAGGTGTTGTTTACCAAAATCAGGTAAGTTGTACTCTCATCAAGAATCCTGACAGCTTAACATACTACACAAAACATTGTTCCACATCCTACTTTGGCGAGTAATGACTGGTATCTTAAAAGATTGCAAGTAGCCATCTAGATGTAATGATGGATCTCTCCTCATCCAGAGCAAAGAAAAGTGAAGAAAACCAAAGACACGTGGAAACAATTAGTCCAAGCGACTGGTACACCATGCAATCTGCAGCTTATACAGGTATGCTGGTCTGATAGAGCCTGATGGAACCACTGAGACTACAGCCCCTAGGTGCCCTTCAGGTCTGGAATTTAACCCACTCCTATGGCTTCTAGCCAAACAAAAGACAGGCATATGAGCTCAACATTGACATTAGGTAGATACACTTCTTGGAGAGATCAATCATGGGAGACTAGAAGGGCTGTGTATGCACAGGGAGACAGTTCAGGGGCAGGAGTGCATGGAGGGAAGGACATAGTGAAGAGATAATTATGGGGAGGAAGCGGGAGGGGAAATGTTACACTGTGGGAAATTATACTCAATGTTATGAGACAAAGTATTTATGAGCTGCTGTATTGAAAGCGTATTTGCTCTGTAAACTTTCACCCAAATCACAATTAAAAAGAAAAAAAAGAATCCTGACAGCTTTAGTTCTGTCATGGGCTAAAAGAAAAGCTGAGGCTACGGAGGTTCAATGCTTCTTCTCAGGGGTAGGGAGTAGGGGTGGAGTGAGGATTAAAGCAGCAAGTAAAAGCAAGACAGACCTATCAAGAACTCTAGAGGGTGGTCATTTGGTATTAAGGCTGAAAATACTATTAAAACAGACTTTTAAGCTCTGTTAACTCAATTTCTCAAAGGTAGCTAAAAACATACTACAAACATAGTACTTGTAAGGTAAAAGACTGTTTAGAAAGTTTATCTCCACCATCTAACTTTGATTATCTAAATTCTGTCACTACTACCTTCAGAGAATAGGAGGGAAAACGTATTGGCATTTACATTTCCCTTAGGTTCTTCATAACGTGGTGCTTATATAAAACTAGGGACAAGGTTGAAAATTCTCCAAATATATACATCTTTTAACCAATTTTTTTAAGTCTTTTAAAAGACCTGTTTGCAATATAAAAAAAGAAAAAATATTTCTGATTTCAGCAGGAAGTAAATGAGCCATTAAATATGCTTCTCCCTCATTCATACACACATACACACCATACTCCTGATAAATGTTTTGAAAGGCTAAGTATTCTTAGTTCTCATACTTTATAAGTTCAATAGCAATAACACCTAAGCTTCAAAGAAATATTCTCAACCAAAACTTTGTATTATCAATCTTAAGTTGTTCCTTGTAAGTCTCTGTAAGATGGAGATTATTAATGTTCCATACAGCAAAACTGAAGTAAAATAAAACGTGGTATAGACATATTGACAATTCCATTTAGTTATTTACAATTTCTGTAATATTACTTTCGTGACATCTTGTAAGGCATTTATATATCATATATTTGATTTTGGAGTCAAAATCTTAAAATGTCTGAAATGATCATGGCCATGGCTTAAATATCAACACCTGACTGCTTGGTCAAAGAAGTAATTTCGTACTCTTGTTTAAAAGGGAAAATATGATCTGTTTCATCCTAACCCAAATTATGACTCTTTCCAAGAGGCTTGGCAGAAGACCATGGGGACTAACCATACATGAGAAAAGTAAAGCTAGGAAAGATATTCACAAGGACTAAACTGACATGCCATGTCTGGAAAAAGGTGCCAGCTTTGTGTATGTTCATTTGAAGTCTCAAAGCCAATGTGATTTTCAAACTTTAAATTTTTAAACACAGAAAAACTTAACAACAGTAAAAATAAAAGACAGACTATAACATGCAGAATTCTTTAAGAATATAAGAAAGGAGTCCACCATGTTAATAGCATGTTCAGGTCATTTAAATGTTCTATGGCAGAATAAAACGATTGTTAATATTTAATTTATAAAGTAACAAAGCAACATACTTTTGGTGATCGAGGGTCTGGAGAACGAGCAAAGAGTTCATCTTCAGGCAACTGCACACTTGAGGAAACGGATTCACATGGACGTGTACCATTGTAGATATGGAATTTGCAATGAGGATTTAAGGCCATGGAGAGAAGTTCTAGAAGTGGAAACCAATCTTGGGACAGCTTGGCCACACACAGTTCCACCAGACGATGAGTATTGTTAATAATACATCTCTATTTTAAGAGGGGGAAAGTGATTTTTAGGATGTAAACACTGTGATTTCAAACAAATTATCTTTCAATCTTATTAATTATGATCTCTCTCCATTTTTCTACACTAGTCATTTGTATCATGTTTAATTGCACTAATATTGGCACAAGCTGATAAATCAAGATAAATTAGCATTTATTTATATATCACCTTCTTTCAAAAATCCATTTGCAATTGCTTACAAAAAGAAGAAGGCATCATAGGTTGTCTCCTACTGCTCTATGTCTATAGGCAAGATATAAATTACCGTTTTCTATCTTTGGAATTTATATACTAGAGGCAGTAATTGGTAAAAATCTAAACAATATGTCGATTTTCCAAGATAGAGTAGATCTGCTATATAAATCTAAATGGAAAAGTCTACTACTACTTTCCAAGTCTTCGTAACCTATACAGTTACGTGCCAAATAAGAAGATACTGGGATTTTTATGCCATGGTCATTTTGGGGAAATAGTTCAGAGCATAAAAAATATCTGCTTTACAACTTATGATCATTTTCATATTATAAATGAGGAACAGAGATTTGGAGTAATAATTGTAAATTCATCAATCTAAGATGTACCTTTTAAGATCTCTGCAATCATCATCAATGAAATCATGCACTGCTATTTTCCAAACTGGTGTTTCTAGAGATGATTTGCATTTGCTTCTGCTTATTACTTGGGGACATAACCAACCATTTTAAATTCTCTACTTGAGGTTTTTTTTTTAATATCTAAACTATAAATTGAATTATGTGAATTTTCAGATCTTTTTCTTCCTCCATCAGATCTCAAAGTTGAGACATACATATTTCCTTGCTGTCCCTTTCTGCATAATGAGTAAGTTCTCATTTACCCCAAATGTATGCAGATAGTATAGTCCCTATACATACTACGAGCATCTGACTTAAGGAAAACTCCTACTGCCCTTTAATACAGGGCTTCCAACCAGATCTGTCATGGTCAACAAAGCAAAAGAGAAACAAATCAGAATTTTTACAATATGGGTGATTTGTCATGGTAACCATAATGGGAAAAATTACAGATCAAAGCCTTGGAATGGGAGACTTGAAAGAGGCATTTCAGGAGCCTAATGTTTGAAACTAGGTTAGTGGCAGGATTTTCAGTCATACACATCCAAGGCGGTATGGTTGGCTGCCATCTTTGAGGGCACTGCCATCTTTGAAGCCCTGCTTCACAATGGTATGGAAATTTGAGCTCACTTTGAATCAGATCAACCAATCCATGCTTGCAACAAATTCCTCATTACAATCACCTTCACTTGTTGCACATGTAGTCTTTATATCATTGAAAAACTTTTTTTGCACTGCAGTAAGGTGAAGTAAGAACCATATATGCACCTGTTCTGACTCACCTACAAATTCCTTAAAGACAAAAGGATGATCTCGTTTGTATCCTGGGGATTGCCTATAGTGTGTACTAGATTCTCCATCTTGGTTATTCCTTAAACTCATTGCCATTGAGTCCATTCTGACTCAGAGAGATCCCCACTGGGTTTCTAAGGTGGTAAATCTTTACAAAAATAAACTGCCACATCTTCCTTCTTCTGAGCAGTTGGTGGGTTTGAACTGCCAACCCTCTGGTTAGCAGACAAATGTCTTAGACACTACACCACCAGGGCTCCATAAGTATTCCTTAATGGTACATAAAATAGTAGTGCATCTTACAATTGATAGCATGATATATTCAATGAAATACAATGACATGTCCAAAAGTTACAAGGTACTAGAGAACCCAGGAGACAGACTAAACCAATATTTTCTAACTCTAAACCTCATTCGCATTCTAAATGACCACGCGTCCTTAAATCAAGACTATAATTAAAAAAGAAAAAAAGGCTTCTTGTTTTTAGAGGCTTTGATGCAATGATTGGGCATAATATATAATCAAAATACACATTGTGGGTGTTGTGTGTGTGTGTGCATTACCCACAGGCATCATCACATAAATCTGATTTTCTAGAGTCAAATGCAAGACTCACATGAATTTCAAACTTCCAGCCACTCACTGCCTCATCTGTAAGGATTTTAGTGAATGATATTGTTAGCCCATCTCGAAAAAATCGTTGACAGGCTTCACTTTTAACATCAAGGCCTAAGAAAAAGGAAGAAAACTTAATGTAAACAAAACATTTCTCTAGCTGTTTTACAACGTCTAATTACATGACAAAACTTGGCAACTCTTCACTGACAGCTAAAAAATGCAGAGTAGCTTTGGAAGAAAGACTCCAAGCATTATCCTAAGAAGTCATTAATACTGCAAGGACTAACATTTCAAAGTTCTTATATGCCAAGAAGGTAGCATGATTAAGAAACAAAATAATCTTTTAATACATTTTTTACTAGTCCACTGTTAAAACTACAACCAACCATGTAATGTTAAGACTAACTGAAAATGTTTCAAATTATGACAGTAATTCTTGAACACAGAATGGTTACCAGTACCATGTGACAGGAAAATCTAAATACATCACAGCATTGTACTTCTTAAAAATAAACTTTATAAATTAAAAAGCAACATTTCTCAACTACTGAATTTCATCTGATTACAGAAACATAAGAGCCTTGTGTCTCCAAATACAAAAGATAATCTATAGCTCTTAATGAAAACATGATCAACTAATCTGTATACTAAAGTATTATTTGATTTTGATCGTAAAAATAGATGTCACCTAAACCTCGTACTGCAGAAAATCTGAATCTTGCCTAAAATGCATCAGATCCCAGGAAAAAATTATGGGAAGAAAACCCCTGTAAACAATACACGTCCACTGACTGTCAATGCTATTAAATAAAATACCATTAGCTGTTTTTATTTATCATGGTTCTGTCAGGATATAGAATGTGCCTAGTACACAGAAGTCTTCAAATAGTTGCTGAATTGATGAATCAATGAATAAACAGACAAAAGAGATCTGAGTAGTGGAAAACGACTGTAATCTGGTAAAATATTTTCATAGTTTACTAGATCATTTTTATAAGATCAATAAGGTATAAAGCATAGTTTTTAATGAAGGTGGGATAATTAACGTAAGTGAAATTGTTACCCTTGCCATGCAACGAGACAGACCTAAACAGTACCCTAAAGTACTAAGGTGTTTCATTCTGACAATAATCTATTGTGAGAGTTCCTGTTGATAATTAAAACACATCCTTATTTCAGAAAATAAAACGTTACTGACATCTATTTTAACCTTTAATACCTTAATAAAAATAGAGAAAAAAATGAGCAATTAGACAACTCTACCTGAAGTTTGACCAAAGTCACTGGAAAAAATGATTAATTCCAACATTAAGCTTTTACTTTTGGACAACTGAGTAAAAATATCATATTACTTTTATTCCCCCCACCCCTTACATAGGGCCTCATCTTTCAAGACTTATTTTTCTTTTATAGGAAAAACAAAATACATATTAAACATTTTTCTGTACATTAAAAGAGAAATAAAATATTCAAGTTATACAGCTGCAAAACAGTAGTGAAAACACTATTAATGAAATGGTAACTTTCAGCCAAAGGAGCATAGATGAAGATTCTATTAGGTACATACCCTTGGATTCACTGTCATTTCAATAAAGCAATCAAAGGGCAAATAAACGATTTACAGATTAACATAATACATATCCCAAAATTAGAAATGGCATACTTTAAATTAAAAAGTCAGATATATGTGAAGTGGAAATCCATCACCTTCAGAGTACTTTCCAATTAAAAATGCTATTTTCACATCTTATTATTTTATACACCAGATAAGACTCTAGGTTGAAAATGTTTTACAACTCTTGTGTGACCTATGGAACACATATCTCCCACCAGTATTTTCAGTCTCTCAGGGTTCTTAGGGAAGCTGCTATCCCAGTTGTAATATGTGCTACTACCTGGTGGGGATCTGTTAACTGCGACAATCTGAAGAAACAGCCCTCACCTCACCAATCCTACTGCCAGAGTTCACTTGTGACATATGTGTCCCACATAATTGTATCAAAATCCATATTAGCTCAAAAAACATTTTTTTCTCCTTGATTTCAGCATGCCTTCCATCACTGAAAACATGTGGTTATCAACAAAAAATTTAAAGCAGAAAATAATTTACTCATGAAAGGGTTATTAACCTTTTAGTGACAATCCCTTTGAGAATCTGATTGATTAACTGATCTACTCTTTAGTAACACGAATATACACAAATTTTGTTTATAACTTCAGGAAGTTCACTAACACCCTTGAAGGTTGTCCAAAGATTATAAACCCTTGCTCTAGTCTAGGAATATTTAACAAGTGTTTATAACAGAGGGAAATTAAGTTTCCAGGGATAAAGTCGAAGTATTATCTATAGGCATACTTTATAGAAAGCATAACAACATCTAAACTTACCTTTTTTACTAAGCTCAATAGCAGCTTCTAAAAGCACTTCTAATTCCCCTTTCGGCAAAACTGGAACCACCCATCGAGGCCTAAGAGTTTTTATAAAATAAAAATATGCTTATTGGTTGCACACTAAAAAAAGGCACTCTAAATGCATTACTAATTTTAATTACTCACATCACTATAACAATACTGAATATTAAAACAAGATTGACAAAGTATCTGTTTAGTGAGACTAAGTATCTGGTGTCTCTAACAGATTTTCTTAAATGTACTGTCAAATAAAAGACATGTACTGAGAGGGTAAAAAGCCTTAATTATTTTAAGAACTTTAATATAAAGCTACTATAATAATCAAATGTCAATTAATTGGATACCTATTGTTTAAATTCACAGAAAGTGCTCTTTGGGGGATTCAGATTAAAAGGGATATTATTATCATGACCCTCTTAGTTGTCTTGAACTTCCTCATAAAGAAGAAAATATTCTGAAGGCAAATAACTCATTTCTGGCTTAATTCATCTCAGAAAAAGATTTATCATCTTTTCCTGAAGGTTAAGTGAGCCATGAGTCTCCAAAGTCTCTATGCCTCCATGGACACCATCCTCAAATATCACACATACACGCTTTCTCGGGTGGTTTCTCTGGTCGCAATGACAGCCCACCTATGTAAGAGCCCATAATTTTCCTCCTCACCACCAATCACACATCCACTGCTCCCCAGAAGAAAAAGCCTTATTTTATTCATTCTTTAATCCCTGAACTAGATTAAGAGCTAGCAAAATTCCCAGATAATACTTGCAGTGTAGTAAATTACTTTGTGTGGCTTTTCTACCCATAAGTCTTTGTAAACTCCAAGGTGGGATTTGCT